AAGTCGGCTCCTTCTGACTGAATTCGTAGAATTATCAATGTATACATGTATACTGAAGCAAATGAAATACATGTATGTCAATATGCATATAAAGATTTGATTGCTTATTCTTCATTATCTTTATTATGTGTATAGAAGATTTTTTTATATGGAATATTTATCACCCTGTAATGATGATTTTATAACCTCATAATTTTTTTCATTTCACATGCTGAATACTATCATTTATTTAAAAAAAAAAGTATTAAAAAAAAAAAAGTAAGGATCGACCAAGATTCGATCCCGGGTCCTTTCACATTTGAAGCGAGAGACATAACCGCTAGACCACGGAATCGCTTTACGCGGCGGAAAGTATATGCAGAACTGAAGTCACATACATGTATATATTCATGTTTTCATGTTCGATATTCTCAAATTTTTACACAATCCATGGTGTTTGATTTATTTAGCCTTTATTAAACAGTTCTAATAGATGTAATAAGAACATAAAGTCCGCCGAAAACCTGTTTTATACGCAATAACTCTCCTCATGCCCCTGCGCTAAAAATAGCGACATGTAATACTATAAATACTAATAAAACAAACGGGGCGGGGCACCTTGAGAGGGGCGAGAGACATCCTAGGGAGTTTTGGTATAAAATTACATTGCATAAGCTCAAAATCTTCTTTAAATATCGGCCGGAAATGATAGTGTTACACACAGACAGAATGTATAAATTTAACCTTGAACTTTGACCTTTTGACCTCAAAATCAATAGGGGTCTTCATTAGGCCACAGGGAGTTGTTATGTAAAATTTCATTGCAATAGCTCAAATGGTTCTAGAGATATCGTGTGGAAACGAAAGTGTTTTAACAGACAGAATTTGCTTATTTATGACCTTGACCTTTGACCTCAAAATCAATAGGGGTCTTCTTTAGTCCATAGGGAGTTGCTATGCTAAATTTCATCGCAAAAGCTCAAAGGGTTCTCGAGATATCGTGTGGAAACGAAAGCGTTACAGACAGACAGAAAGACGGACGGACGGACAGACGGACGGACGGACGGACAAACCCAAATTAATATCCCCCACTTTTCAAGCGGGGGACAACAAGCAGTAATCTACAAATGTTTGAATTTTTTATCTAATAATTTTTAAAAAAGAATACAGTAAGGCTTAACTCACTTTTCAGAACATCAGAGATTTGATAAAATTGTTAAATGTTTATCTTTTAACTTTACAAAGTAACATATGTTCTTAGACGAATCCATGGTCAACAAAACCCGGACGCTTGCCACCAAATAAGGTAACGCGCAACGCGGCCGAGCTTGTGTTTGGTGATATGTCTTGTATCACCGAGGCGTTATACTAGATTCGTTAACCTGTTAACTCAGGTTTTGTTGACCAAATATATATGTACAATCAAATACAATACTATAATTCAATATAAACAGTTTCTTCTTGATTGGACAACCACTAACTGTGGTCAACGGGTGTCTCCCGTACACAAATTTCTTCTTTTCCTGCCACTCCACAAGCACTGTATCCTGGCACTTCCCCCACCTTTATTTGTGGTATGCCACCTCTCTAAATATTTGACCAAGTGGCTGCCTTATTCAGGTCTTACGCTTTGGTTCACTACTAACTACTTAGCCGTCTATTCCCCGCAACCGTCTGCCTTATTCAGGTCTTATAACGGCATATAGGAGACTAAACGGACTAACGTTTATCAACTCCGTCACCAGAGAGGTCTGAAAGTAACTATAATACAACTTGTATTATCTCAGTGCAGTCCCAGTACAATGGCAGATTCATACTACTTGTATGATCGCAATATTAATATTATTTAGTGTTTAAGAGTTGAAAAGAAAACGTAGGTCTAACGTTTGTACGAAACTAACCAACAACCATTTCCGTTTCACTTTTCTAATTTAATATAATAGAATTTATGATCAGCTCATCATGATGTCAATGCAGTTCTCACACTGACATACTTGTGTATATATCAGGTATGAAACTTCACATATGCAGTTGTCGCCCGCGTATATCACTCAGTGGATATATGGGTACACCAAAGCATAGCAGATGGACGGACATATCGATTACTTAATATACCCTCCCACTTTTCAAGCGGGGGGTATAATAAATTACATGCATGCATGCATCAATCTGATTGGTCAAAATTTTCTTTTTTGTTTGTCTATTGCAGGTTAGAGTACATTTTGAACAGACATCTCCAGGTATTACAAAAATAACACGATTGACCCTATAAGGTAATAAACAAACATTATTGAATTTAGAAAATGTATTTAATAATGAAGCACAAATGTGAAATCATTGTAGGCCCAGGCTAGAAATAGTTTTCTTTCACTGCTCACTCAGGCTTTTTACTGGTCAGCTCATCATAATATCACTATCCCACTAGGCTACTAGATTTTAATAAAAAGAGACTGACCCAAAACCATAATAATAATAATAATAATCATGATGTAATAGTTATATTTTGTTTATTTTATGTGATACACAGTTGGACAAATAATTAATCTAAACAAAACAGGATTCCGACAAGCCTGTCAAGTTACTAGCCCAACTATAATTGTATTTTGTTATATACTGACACGCAAAAGAAACGCAACAAGCAGTAATCTACAAATGTTTGAATTTTTTATCTAATGATTTTTAAAAAAGAATACAGTAAGGCTAAACTCACTTTTCAGAACATCAGAGATTTGATAAAATTGTTAAATGTTTATCTTTTAACTTTACAAAGTAACATATGACTTTTAAAACGCCCCCCTCCCAGCCACTCAATTACAACGTGCAAGACTGTCCAAAACAACATTAGCAGCTTAATTTCTACGATACAGTAGGTTGATCAATATCGAGATCTGGGCGAAGGAATTATTCTTTACCATTGTTAAATGCCTGTTTTTCAGATGATTAGGTGGAATTTTCTCTAACTTAGCGCATTGTAGTGACCCTTTGACTTTCGGTCCAAAGACTATCATTGATGAATATAATACGTAAGATCCCGTTGAGACGTAATGTAGTGTATTTTTGCATCATCAACTCTCCATCACCTTTACTTTGAGATTTTTCAGCTAGAGCAATGGAAATGCGCACTTAGCCATTTTCAAGAAGCTTTAGCATCGTTACGGAAAGCGAAAGATTTTATTTTTTGAAATATTGCTGCATTACTTAAGATGAACAGTACAAACCCTTAAAGCTCCATAATATTGCCAACTGTTTTGTGAAACATGCAATTTTCGATTTCTGTTATGAAAACTCAAACTTGACTTCCGGTTATGGTATGGAAATCGTTCAACCGTTACATTACCGATATTTACCACTTTGAAGATATTCATGATTTTAAGATTTAAAATTTTTTACTTTACATAATTATTTCACCCTAAAGTATGATGTTGCGTTTCTTTTGCGTGTCAGTATACATAGACCTGACCCAAAAGACAGATGCCCCCTACCATGTAGTAGCCTAGATAAATAAAAAAAATCACTGACCCCAGTCACATGGGCCTTCAATTATTTTTAGCTCACCTGAGCCAAAGGCTCAAGTGAGCTTTTCTGATCAAAATTTGTCCGTTGTCTGTCGTTGTCGTCGTTGTCGTCGTAGTCGTTGTTGTTGTTGTTGTAAACTTTTCACATTTTCATCTTCTTCTCAAGAACCACTGGGCCAATTTCAACCAAACTTGCTACAAAGTATCCTTGGGTAAAGGGGATTCAAATTTGTTCAAATGAAGGGCCACGCCCTTTTCCAAGGGGAGATAATTATGAATTAGACAAAAAAATGGCATTTTTGAAAAATCTTCTTCTCAAGAATCACTGGGCCAGGAAAGATGAAACTCATGTGGAATCATCCTCAGGTAGTTTAGATTTAAGTATGTTCAAATCATGACCCCCTGGGGTAGGGTGGGGCCAAAATGGCCGATCAAAGTTTTACATAGGAATACATGTATACATAGGAAAAATCTTTAAAAATCTTCTTCTCAAGAACCACTTGGCCAGGAAAGATGAAACTCATGTGGAATCATCCTCAGGTAGTGTAGATTTAAATTTGTTCAAATCATAACCCCCGCGGTAGGGTGGGGCCAAAATGGCCGATCAAAGTTTTACATAGGAATATATAGGAAAAATCTTTTAAAAATCTTCTTCTCAAGAACCACTTGGCCATGAAAGATGAAACTCATGTGGAATCATCCTCAGGTAGTGTAGATTCAAGTTTGTTCAAATCATGACCCCCGGGGGTAGGGTGGGGCCAAAATGGCCAATCAAATTTTTACATAGGAATATATAGAAAAAATCTTCTTGTCAAGAACCATTGAGACAAGAAAGATGAAACTCATGTGGAATCATCCTCAGGTAGTGTAAATTCAAGTTTGTTCAAATCATGACCCCCGGGGGTAGGGTGGGGCCAAATGGCCATTAAAAGTTTTAAATAGGAATATATAGGGAAACCTTTTAAAATCTTCTTTTCAAGTACTTCAAAGCTTAGTGATATTTATAGGGAATCATCCTCAGGTATTGTAGATTCTAGTTTGTTCAAATCATGACCCCCTGGGGGGTTAAATTTCAAGCCCCTCCCCCTCCCCACCCTCAGTTAACTTTCAGTTCTGATCTGATATGTGCTTTTTTCTAGCCAATTGCTCAGGTGAGCAATGTGGCCCCTTGGCCTCTTGTTTAGCATTGCATTGTAAAGTCAGCTATCACGACATTCCGTCCTTTTTTGTTGTTTGTTTTTTTAATGATGTGCACCATCCCACACAAATTATACACACAAGAAAATATTTTTTTCCACTATTAAAATATGGGCTTTACTGATCTTTACATGTATACAATGTATGTCTTTTGTTTTGAAGAATTATATTGTTGATCAAATTTAAAAATGGTCCTCAATATGTATGTGTATGATACTGTATTAAATGCACAAACATTATAATTTCATTAAAATAAAACAAAAAAAAAAAGCAAATACACTGTATAAAAAAAGAAAATCAAATCAAATGAATTATAATCTGCAATGAATGTTTCTTGCAGGGCATACTCTGAAGACAGTAATGTGCAAGTTCAAGGTTTGACTGTTGTGAGTATTGTATATGTAATTGTAAGGATAAATTTATAACATTTGACAGGCAACATTATTATTTAATTATTATCATCCTGATCATGCTGATTGGAATAAACAAAGAAAAAAATATTAAGCATGCCCAATTACTCCAATATCTACATGTACAAATGTACATGTATATCAATTAATGTATAAAAGAATCCTGTGTAAACTTTATATATAATTAGAGAGAGAGAGAGAGAAGTTGATAAAAGGATTAATATAATTGAAAATCATGCATCAGTGATTCTTGTTTTTGTTTAATTCTCAAAAGATTTAATCACATTCTGTTCTATTTTCAGCATATACTTTAATAATAAAGAATGGGTGAAAAAATTCTCACATCATGCTGCATAACAGTACATGTAAGTTCAAAGGCAGAAGAAAATCTGTTAAAAGAGAATTTAGAAATACAGTTGGTTGTCTGTTTCAGCAAACAATTTAATGAACTGAAAATTATGCTGATACATAAATCAGCATATTATGCAAACTGTAAATGATTGCGTAACATATTTTTCTTATTTGCATGTAGTGCATTGATATTTGTCAGTATTTTTCATTCAGTTTTTTTTTTCCATATTATTGCAAATGCTTGTATTTTATTAGGATTAATTGATTTAGATGATTGTATTAACTTATTAATCATATTTGTAGTTCAGCTGTAACAAAAGAAATTATCTGATGAAAGCTTCAACCACGAGAATCTAGGAAAGGATGTCATGATCAAGTCCAAAGAGAAGGTATGTTGATTACTGGTGATGATATATGTTATTGATGTAAATAGAGTACAGCAATAAATTAAAGAACAATAGTAATCCGTAGACAAAAAAATTAAATCTTAATTCTTTTCAAGAATAGGCAGCTAGGTCATGAGTAGTCACTTTGAGATAGTTAAAAGCAGATTTAGATTTGTTCAGAGCATATGGCTATAGGGTAGGGTGGGTCCACAGTGGGGGATCAAAGTTTTATTCTGGAATATTTAAGGCTGAAGCCTTTTATTATGAAGTCTATTGAAGATTATCAGGGCCACGATACATCATATTTTTTGAACGAATACATACTAGTACAGAATCCCAGAATCAAGAGTAATGAATATGCCAAAATTAGAAACAGAATGTTTATCTTGAAAGTCCTATGTAAATATTGGAAAATCATTTTGTTTATTTCTTGTCCCTTAATTTAAGTAAAGATTAAAATGATATAAGTTTTCATAACTTAAATTCCTATTTTATGGAGACTTTAGTTGATATCTATGTAAGGTCAAAAAAGCTACAATTTTCAGAAAGAAAGCAATATTTTGGGGTTATAGAAAAGGGGCATAACTCTCATCATGATAGTAAATGATGGATGTCAGATAATGTGAAAAATGTGATTGTGTACTGTTGGAAAACATTATAGTGAATACAGTGCCGTCTGAATATGTACAGTTAAACTACAGTATCTTAAAATCAAACAACTTTGACTACCTAGGGTATGTTGACATTCATGACAGTATTACAAATTGAATGAATGATTCGTAAACACTAGGAATAGCATATATATGATTTACTTTGTTGATTTAATTTGCTCATTTTGCGCATATCTCTTTCTCATGCAGATTATTAATGAACAATGATAGATTGAATTAGCAACTGTAAATGGCATACATGTATATGAATTTTATATACTCTGTTTAGAGTTGAACTTTGGTATATATCTTTGACACTGAGTGATATCTTGAACACATTGAGATATCAAAGTCATTTTAAAGTCCCTTGAACGACATTTTTTTTCTATATATCCTACCCTGAATCTCTTGGATATCTCAGTTTTTTCAGCAGTCCCATAAGCATTTCAAGATAACAAGTGTGACTTAATTTTATTGATTCAGTTAATTTATGAATTATAAAAATATCAATCATATACCCAGGTACTTTTATGTTAATGCATTAACATTTTTAGGTCACCTGAGTAAACTCAGGTGACCTGTTGCTACCTGTTTTCGTCCGTCGTCGTGCGTCGTTCGTCGTGTGTTAACATTTGAACATTTTCAGCTTCTTCTCTGCAACCACTCAACCAATTTCCACCAAATTTAGCACAAAGCATCTATGGGTAAAGGGGAACAAAAATTGTGAATTTCATGGTCCTTGCCCCCCCCTGGGGCCTGAGGGGCGGGGCCAAAACCACCAAAATTAATGCAATCTTTAAAAATCTTCTTCTTTACTCCTGGACATCAAGCAGTCAAACTGTTTGCATGATTGTAATCAGCAATAAGTCCTCTACCAAAATTGTGAAATTCATGGCCCTGGGGTCAGGGATTCTAGTGCTAGGGCGGGGCTAAATAAGTAGGTAGTGAAAATGCATTATTTCTTTGAAAATCTTCTTCTCTGCTCCTGGGTATTAAATAAACCAACTAAGTACATAGTTATGATGAGCAAGAGTGCCTCTACCAAAATTGTGAATTTTATGGCCCCAGGGTCAGGGGTTCTGGTGTTAGGGCGGGGCTCTATTGATTATATAGTGAAAATACATGAATTCTTTGAAAATCTTCTTCTCTGCTCCTGGGTATTAAATAAACTAACTAAGTACATAGTTATGATAAGCAAGAGTGCCTCTACCAAAATTGTGAATTTTATGGCCCCAGGGTCAGGGGTTCTTGTTTTAGGGTGGGGCTCTAATGATTATATAGTGAAATGCATGAATTCTTTGAACATTTATATTTTGCTCCTGCTTAATATGCTAATGATCTAATTACATATTTAAGGCCAGGATTTATTTTATTTTCAGTTTTATAAACCCTCCGCTCAAGGTTTTGAATTTTCAGAAAAAAATAAAACAATTTTTTTCTTTCCGATGTCAAATTTGAGTCGGGATCGAGATTTCAAATTTACGAACTCGCACTTCTGGTTTTACGATGAAACGGCGGGTAAATAAAGCTAGATCTGAGAAGATAGCTTGGTTTAGTGTAAAATTCATCGATAAGAGTGCCATTTAAAACGTTTCA